AAAAACTTCGAACTGATACGAATGTTGGCGGGCGCACTTGAAAGCTATAAAGTCGCCACTATCTGCTGCCTTTCCACAATTAAGGACAGACACAATCTTTAATAAAGTCAGTTCTAGAATATAAACGATCTGCGCATGCTTAGACGTCAAAATAAGAGCGGTTATAATAGTGACTGACCTTAAGTGAACTTGCAATATCTCTCTATTGATGAAGATTTTCATATATACAGTTCATCAAATTTCTAGAGGCTTTCGACGGCTAGACAGAGAAAGCACTACTGACAGGCATCCCGACGGATTTACGCAATGAAAGTACACTCTGCGCATCAAGTATTTCACTATTTCATTCAGACGTAAATGTCAGATGTAAATTTCGCTAAAACATTTCTTTTATTTTCGTTTGTGTTTTTTGCTCATTACAGTTTAATAGAACCTAAGTATGGAGTTTAATAGCAAATTAAAAGGCCGCGTGATTAACTGTCAATCTCGCGAAATAATAGCCAATGTTATAGAGTTTATGAGAAGAGAAGGAAACTTTAATTCACCTTCAATACCATTTAAAAATGTAAATGATCGTGTTGCTGCAGCCACAGGAGTATCTAAAAACACTGTCGTCCGCATTTCTGGAGAGAAAAAAAGAATCGATAACCGTGAGATATCGGAATTTTCATCACCAAGAAAAACCATTAAAAAACCAAAAACAGTTAATGATATAGATGAAGCTGCACAAGAATCAAATTTTATTTTTTTATTATTAGATAGCTATTTTTGTTTCTGAGTTGTGTTCATTTACAGGCTCAATTTTTTTCCGTTTCTCCTTTTTGATTTTATATGGGGTTTCAAGTTGTTTTTGACTTATTTCGACGTAAATCACAACAACACACTTTTTTAATAAAGCAAACAAGTGTTAAGAGGTATATGTACGTGTAAACTACAATTACAAAAAATTGATATGAAACCCATGAAACCACCAACAAAAATGTAAAGCTAGCTTCCGTACTAGAACATGGTGTCATTCGTCGAGATAATTTATCGTTTTGTTTAATAGATCAAGAAATGTAAATATTCCCCTGTTATTTTTTATAAAATTATAAGAGAAATAAATTTTTTTCTAAATAGTATAGTTTATTATTTTGTAGAAAAACAAAATTTCGAAAATTTTAGTAATGTTTCAGACACAACCGTTATTAATAATAGGTACCATTTTTCTTAATAAGGTAGAAATAAAATATAAACTATTTCCACGATTTACAAAGGCCTACAAAAAAATTATAGGTATTTTCCGCTATCCTATAAAATTTATATTTTCTGACTCAATTTCAAAAGGTTGAAGGAATTCCAAAACACCTTTTATGGCATAATAATTATTTTCAATTCTACATACTATCTTTAGCTGCTTTTAAAAACGTTCTAAGAAAGTCCAATCAGACCAATTTAATCCCTAAACTATTCCACACTTTTAAAATTTAATTACCTAAAAATATTAAAAACTATTTAAAATAACTTGTTTAGCAGACTGTACAATAGCTATCTTAGTCACACGTAGCGCGTTCTCTGTCTGGCCGTCGAACACCTCTAGAAATTTGATGAACTGTACATACATTTTTGGCGTTTTTTTTCCAGTTTTTTTGTATATTACTCAAAAACGAAGCGCATTCATAAAAAAATTTACTGGGCCTTTTTTAATTTCTATCATGTCCTTATAAATTTTTTGTCAAATTTCTTATTTTTGCCGCTAGAACGCGCAAAAAAAAAACGAATGTTTATATTTTACGCGTTTTAGCAATTTACATAAAAACCACGCACTTTGGTGGAAAATTTCATCAGACCAAAGTTGTAGGGCGAACATTTTTCTATCGAACCTATGATACAGATTTCTAGTAAGCGCATGCGCGGAAAGGCGGAAAGTGAGAGTCGTTTTTTCAAAAAATGATCATTCAATTTTTGTCCAAACTCTCCGCTTGGTTAAAAAATGTAGTTGCAACAATATGGATTGTGGAATTTAACCATACATATTACAACACGAAAAATTAAACAGCATCTTCTTAATAAAAGTTTTGACAAATTTGACACAAACTTTAAGTTTCAATTTTAAGATTAAAATGACATTCTGTGAAAAAAGCTAAAGTACCAACCCAAAACATAAATTTCTCCGCCAACTTCAATAATAATTTTTCTGGAATTAGTCTTTTCGTCTTGATCTAATTACAATTTTGTCGGATTTACTGTAATTTTACTTATATTTTAAACACTCTGTACAATATTATAATAATTATCTTTATTAGATTTGACTCTAATTCAAAAACCAGATATTTATTTTGATAGTAGTCAATATTGTATCTGACTGTTACCTTACTATTATTTTAATAGTACAGTAAATTTATCCATATTTTCCTTCAAGAATTTGCGAAATAAAAGAATTAAAAAAATGCTATATTATCCTTCAATTTTGTGGCTCCAAATTCTCGCTTAGGTATTCCTAAGTTCTTCGCAATTTTTTACGAAAATTTTTTACACAAAAACCGTTGTTGATCATGAATACATCAATAGAACTGGACTAATTTTACATTTACACATTTTTGAATAATTCTGAAAACCGAAAAATTGCTTTTTTATCCTAATACCCACAGAAATCCTTTTATAAATAAATATAATAAAACTTAAAGTAGCCTTAATATTTTTTACAGAATTACACTATGTTTGCAAAGCAATTTTTGAGTTTTCGGGATTTTTTTATATATTATATTTGTTGAGTGCCAACTACCAATAAACATAGTAACGTTAAGTTTTAGTATTTTAACATAAGATTTTTATCAATCCAATATAGTTGCAACCTTGCTAGAAAAATCAACATTAACGTTTTTCAAAATTTACTGACAGATGTGATAAGGGCAGCCACAAGATATTTTTATACTGTAAATTTTTTTAACATTTGACAGATATTATATCCAGGGAAATGTTAAGTGTCCTTTAGGTGGCCATTAATAAATGACCATATATACGGATATGGGTTGGTCAAGCATTTAACTTATTTTTATGTCTAGAAATATTGTAGAGATAATGTTTAAAAGTATTTTATTAAATAGTTTTCATTGAAACGTGCTTGTTTTTTAGTAACGTTGCAGCTAGATTGTTTTTTACTACAGAAGAAAATTGTTTAAATTTGGTAAAAAAAAATTATTTGTGCAAACTAAGTTTTAGAACGACAAAAAAACAACCTTGGCAATGTATTAAATTAGTCTACATAATTGTAACGACTGGAATATTATACATCTATGAAATATACCGGTACTAGATAATTTTTTTTTTTATTTAATAAACTTTCCATCACATTCCTTATTTTGCAGTAATTTTTACTTTTTTCGATAAGCTTTGCTATATTATTCGCTAACTGAATCACTATTGTATTTTCCAAGAATTTTAATAACTCATTATGTTACTAGTTAAACAATAATCTGATGAATAGGAAAACCATAAAATAAAGTCAATCTTTTCGAATCCAACCCTAACTTTTACCCAAAAATAGAGTCTATAAAATTAGTGATTTTATCTTTCAACAAATAAACAGGTTTTCTAGCTAAACATTTTAATTAAACAGTGACTATTCAAAATAATATAAGATACCACTGTTATAATTTTTACATTGAAACGCCATCTATACTGTCCGATTACAGTTTTTGTGACTTAAGAGGATTGTGTTATTCAAAATTATATTTTTTTGGAATAAGAGAGGTAACTAATACCAGTGGCGGCTCGTGAGTTTGAATGTAGGTGACGCATTGAAAATAAAACACAAACAAAATTCGACTTTTATTTTTTGTACATAAGGTCCATTCTCCTATCCTTTAAACTTGCAAAATTATCTATTATATCATGAAAAAATTACTCTCATCATTTAAGAGTTTTTTTTCAATTGAAATTTTTGCTAAATTGGTAAGTCGATCTTCTGTTATTGTATTTCGTAGATGTTTTAATTCGTTTCAAGGGCCCCACTCACCTCGTTCTTCTCCACCGTTTTTAACCGACGCTTAAAAACGTCAGGGTAAAAATGTCACAAAAACGAGGTGTATGGGCAAGAACGTCGTTTATGAACGTCGTTCCAAAATTTCAGGCGAGTCTTGATTTTTGACGGTTATCGTGCCAACACACACCTCGTGTTCTCAACAGTTTGACAGGTCGGGCATTTATCAGTAGCAGTGACGTTCAGCATGTTTTTGTTGTTTAATATTATTTACAACTGGTTATAATAAAGATGTCGGATATTAGGCAGTAGAACAAAGATTTTTTATTAGAGTTTATCGAGCTTGGCAGGTTTCGGGTATTATGCGTCCTTGTGCCTGCGGTGAAATAATAACAGAAAACTTCAGATCCTCGTAGCTGCGGCCAGTGGTCAGAAACCGCAGAGTAGCTGTTAGGCGTTCGTGAGGACTGATGCATTTCCGTAAATGGGTATTATGTCTCTCAATTAACGGTGTTACTAGTTTTAACAGTTTCCGATACGTATCCTCGTCCATCCTCAAGTAATTGTGCCAATCACCAGGCTCTAATCTTAGCTCCTCCAGTAAATTTGTTTGTACAGTGTACTGCGTTTAAGTAGCCAGTCTTTAGTCCATTTTCTTCGAGATTTTCTTTTTTCGCGATTTTTTTCCGCGGCCGAAACCGCTGCCACTGCCAAAGCCACTGCTAACAAGCACATACGGTCCATCGTGATAAATTGGTGCGAAAAAAACTGTTGTGTGTGGACATATCAGTCAACGTTTTTCCTTCCAACGTTTTTAACCGTTAAACGGCGAAGAAGAACGGGGTGAGTAGGGCCCTTTAAACAAGAAAAACTACGTTCGACTGAAACAGTAGTGGATGGAATAGTTAAGATTAAGCAATATACCTCATAAGCTTCTTTGAAAATATCACGAATCTCAAATAGTTTTTCCAACAATTTATAGATGTCAATATTTATAAAGTTTTCATCACTGTAAATAAACTGTAACTCATTTTTTAACCTTTGTAAGTCATTTAATTTACTGGGATACATTTGAATTAAATTATTTAGTGTTTCTATAGGAAAGCTCTCCGAATGTACAGAAAATTTGGAAGTGTCCATTAATGTTACGAACTGAAGCTTATCAGTATCCTGAAAGCGAGTGTTGATTTGTTCTTAAATTGTGTCCAGGATTTCATAATACAGAATTTTATATTTTTGAACTACTTGATCTCTTGTCAAGACTTGTCAAAACTAGGACCATTCAACCAAAGACTTTGAGCTGATAAATCAACTGGGTTAGACTCCTTGGTTGCTAAATCAGCTACGTTTTCTTGACTTGAGACCCAACGCCACTGCTCACTTCTGGAATTTTCATGGATCTCTCCCAAGCGACAGGCAACAAAGACAGGAAAACGTTTAGACTCTGGCCTAATTTGATGAAGCACAACAAGAGAGCCAGTCCAATAGTGGACTTGTCGTATTTCATAGTCAAGTTCAGAAATGATAGATTTCGAAATCCTAAGGGCCAATATACAAGCTTGAAGTTCTAATTTAGGTATTGTTGTTTGCTGACCTAATTTAACGACTATAAATCTAGAAGTGTCAAAGGAAGTATAACAGTTATTATTTATTTCGAGTCTCAAGAAAGCAACGCAAGCCAGAGTTTTCTCGCTAGAATCACTAAATAGGTGTAGATCAACAAATGGAATATTAGTTAAAGAAGGGAAGTAATATCGAGGAAAACTTATAAGCATTATGCTTTGCAGTTCATGATCCAAGTTTTCCGTGAAACAAAAAGAGTTTCTGTAAGTTCAGAATCCCATATATTTTGCATTCGTATTCTTGCTTTTACCATTACAGGTGCCAGGAACCCTAGTGGATCAAATATCGACATGGTTACTTGAAGGACTTCTCTTTTAGTAGGAAATTTTAAACATTTCCAAATTTTGGGATTAACTTTCTTTAAATTAAATAAAAATATAAAATTGTCATTAATTGGTGACCAAGAAAAACCTAAAATACGCTCAACTTTTTCTGTATTAATTTTGAGGGCCTCTGGATTTACTGCTCTTAAATGGTGATGAAATAACAGCAGGGTAATTACTAATCCATTTCGTCATCTCAAACCCAGCTTGTGAATGAACGTATATAATATTTTTAACAGCTTCTATAGCTTGAGCTTCAGAAACAAATGAATCGTCGACGTAGTGTTGCTTCTTGATTTTCCGTTCGATGTCAAGAAATTGGGTTTCATAAAGTTCTGCGTTACTATTTTTAACAAATTGAGCCTTTGAAGGTGATGAAACAGCTCCAAATATCATCACGTTCACTTGGTTAACGTCAGGTTATTGTTTTAAACCAAAGTCACGCCATAGGAACCGTTGAGCGCATCTATCGTCATTCCTAATGTGGACCTGGTGAAACATCTCCTTTATATCACCATTCACGGCAACTGTACTTTGTCTAAATCTCCACAACACTGCAATGAGCGATGGAACCGAATTTGGACCTTGTAGCAGGAAATTATTAAGACTTACATTATGGCTTTTTGTATCGGTATCAAAAACTAGTCGAATCTTTCCTGGCTTATTTATGTTCCATACTGCAAAATGTGAAAGATATCAAGTTTTTGGTGTGTCTGTTATCTGAGACCTATTAAGTTTACTTACATAACCTTTATTTAGGTATTCATGTATCTTTAGTTATTATTCTTCTGCAAATTTTTTATCCGCTTTCATTTTTCGCTCCATACAAAAAAGTCGTTGAAGTGCAATCTGGCGACTATCAGGCAACGTTTCTGTTTTGTCTTGTCAAAGATGACCTATTTCATAATGGTTACCAGTTTTCTTTAATGTCGCTTTCATGATGTCCAATGCTCTTTTGTTTTCGACAGATTTGACGGCATGATCATCAATTTTGATACCAAAATCATCCAAACGAAAGCTATCTTTTACTAATAAGTGAAGTTCATCATCTTTTTCTGATGTTCAGCATAAATGTACATGTTCTAATTGAGGATTAACAACATTATTTAGAGGTCCGTGAATCGTCCAAGCCAATTTAGTTTTCGACATCATTGGTTGATCTAATCTTGGCTGGATGATCTCCCGAGATGCTATTAAGCGAATGTGACTTTGATCTAATAGAATGTGAGGATTGACATCTTTGACTAATTCTAAAATTTTGCGATCCAAATGAGGGAACTTCTTTGTCACACTGTCAATATTGAAACGTTGATTTGGCAGTTCTAAATGCTTTACTATCCTGATTTTCCCTATTTTAAAGAATTCCGAAGCAGAAACTTCAGCAATGTTTAGACTCACGACTCTGGATTCGTTTTCGTGGTGCCATACACCATTTGTCCACTGATAGCAAAGTGGGACAAGTGGCCCTATAAGTCCCAATTGGTTGGCCAAATTTTCTTCGATTAGGGAACAGGTCGAACCTTCATCCAAAAGAGCAAAAATTTCACATTCACCATCTGGACCACGAACTTTTACAGGTATAACTTTTAGAAGGACACGATCTTCTTCAGAAAATGTAGATTGTTTGGAACAAAATCGTGAAGATGGTGGCTCTAGAAGAGGTACAGCTTTTGGGGGCTCATGATGTGGTTTAGCTAGGTGTAATAGCTTATGGTGCTTTCCCTTACAACCAACCATCTTCGTTACATTTAATCTTCTGGCGGTAACATCTATTGGCAGAATGACCTATTTTTAGGCATATTAAACACAACTTCTTTTCTAAAACTGCTGCACGTCTATCAATCACTGATATTTGACGAAATTCCCCACGTTCCACAATACTATGAAGAGAACTCTTACAAAATGAGCATACTAAGATTGAAGTATGTTTCTTTCTTGTGTTTTCATTAGCAACTAAAACATTCTCTAGTTTAGTAGATCTTTGAAATGGATTAAATGTAACAGTGATTGAGTTAACTTCTTCTTCTAGCCAGTCAGCAAAGTTCCCTAAAGAGGTGTGAGGATTAGTTAATTCAAGTCTGTATCTAAATATTCCCCAATTATCTCTGAATTGGGGTCAGCTTATCTACCAGCAAAGATAAAAGTTCTGGATTCAATAGATAACAATCAGAATTAATTTTTTTTATAGTAGTAACCATATTTGTTACAGTGTTCAGGAAAAAATACTGGAGTCGAGTTTATCTTCTCTAATTGGGTGTAGTTTTCGTGCTTTCTGTAATAGAGATAAGACAATCCACTCTCGACGATCAAAGTTCATCTCCAGTAGCTTAATAATTTTATTTACATTATTTGCCGAAATAAGAAGGGCTTTAACAGTGTCTCTGGCCTTACCCTTCAAAGCTCTGTCTAATCGTACCAAATTTTCTTGATCAGAAAGGTTGAAGCACTCAGAAGTACGCTTAAACTCGGAAATAAAAACAGGCCACTCAGAGATGTCACCAGCGAAAGAAGGCAGATCTTTTAATTTTGAACGTAATAGTAGTTGATTTGTCATGTTACTGTTCTGCACACACTGCTTAGCTATATCAGGAAGCAAATCATTATTAGCTTTATTATCTTCTTCAGCTTTTTTGCACATTACTTTAGGATGAAGGGATGATGACTCTTTATAAATTTTATGACTACCATCTTTCAGAGACACAAAAGATTGGACGGGTATAGACAGGGCACATTGTCTGGCATTATTAATCCAATTATTACATTTCCCAGGGGGTCATAAAGCCTTTCTGAAGCTGGCAGTTCATCATCACTATCTTGCTCTTCCAATATCAAATTCTGAATTTCTGCTTCTTTTATCAGTAACTCACGTTTCCTATTATTGATTATACGTAGCTCTTCTTCGTCAAGTTTCTTTTGCTTTTTAATAAATTGTAATTCTACGGTTAACCGAGATTTTGCTTTTGTTGATACAGATAATCGTGATTTTTCTTTTTGAATTACAGGCACAGATTTATTATGTTGTTTACTAGAATGTATAATTTCAGATTTAGAAATTCTAGGTGTGTTCGCAGGAGGACTAACATTATCACATGCTTTGGAAGTTGTAAGTCCAATAACGGGACTTACAGCCTTCCACCACCGTAACAGGATATCTCCTTGGAGGAACACCTTTATTATTTATAGAGCTCCTTCTAGTATTTTCCATAGCGCTTAATTAATTAGCTCGAAGGACCAATGTTACTTGCACAATACTTTATTTATAATCAAAAATGCAAGTATTAATCAACATATAATTTTATTGCATTGACATATATCGATGGCTTAAGTGCAAAACGTCGTAACCCCAAAAAGTAAATTTTACAGGGAAATAAAAAAAACCAAATAGACTTTAGATGTAATTTCGAAGAGCAACTTTTTGTTTTGGCGCGTAAAATTAATTTTATTTTATACTGTTGCTTACGAGAGTTTTCACAAGATGCAGCTAAAACATAGGACTCCAATGACGCGAAAAGGGATTTTTTGAAATTTTGTGGGTTACGACGTTTTGCACTTAAGCCATCGATATATACAATCAAAAATACATAGCAAACATGATTCACTGTTGGGTACTAATTAACAGTGCTGTTCCTAAAGTGGCGCTGGGAAACAGTAACAAAGCCTACACAGAACACGAGGCTAATAACCGTAGCAGTTGATGCCGATGACATAAAAAAAAATGAACATAGTGAATAAGTAATAACTAGTTGAGTAATTAGCTGCTGTTAGTAACAATCTTGTGACTATAAGTGGGTATTCGCTTATTGAGGATTACATCGGCGTCGTGAGTTCTTTTTGCTGAGTAATGAAATAAGAAGGCAGACATTAGCAAAATATATACCGCACTTCGAAATGCTGTTACAACTTTGAGACAGGACTAAATTCAGACGGTGCGTCAAACAATGAACGAACACCGCCTCTGGTGCTACTTCCTTAATCTTCGATTGTAAACCATTTAATTGCCCTGACATAACACTAGTGCCGTCATAACATTGTCCAACAAGTTTTGATTTGTAGTCGTATTTTTCTAGACAACTTGTAACTAGGTTAAACAATGCTTGATCTGTTCGATTAGAACTTACATCATGGAATCCAAACAATCTTTCAACTAGCTTTCCTTGAGAGTTAACATACCTAATTATTATGCTACATTTAGATTTTTAAGCAATATCTGTTGAGGAATCGTCTACTTGAATGGAAAAAATTGCAATCATTTAATTTCATTTTAATATATTTGTCGATGTATTGAGAAATTAGAATTTGCGGTAAATACAAGTGAAGTTTTTTAATAGTGTTCTTGAATGTCTACAGAACTGAGTGAGATATAGGAATCTAAAAGTTTCTTAAAATTACCGCGATTTTCGGAAGATTTATCTTCATTATGAACACGAAATGCCAATTCTTGCTTTCCTAGAAAAAGAACTGCTCGAGTTGGTAACTACATAAAACGTCTGTAAAGATACACTTTTTCATTAAACTGTTTTACATAAATATATTCAATAGTATTTAAGTTTTTTTTTTTTAGTTCTGTAAATCTTAATGCACAATGCATGTGTTCACATGATGATTCATGTTTATGTAGGCCCCAAAATCACTAAAACCGTCTTTATTCCATACATTTGATTTTACATCTGCTATCAAACAGGGTACGCAAAAAAGCTTGTTTAAATAAAAACTACCACACAACCATTTACATTCGGAATACAACTCTTTCCGAAATTTTCGCACAAACACTTTGTCTTTTGACTTAGTTTTTTTGCTTACATTTAGTAGAGGTTTTGGCGAATTTAAAAAGTCTTTTTCATCCTCACTTCCCCATCTATAGAATGGCATCTTCAAAAGCATAAATACTGGATCATGTACTGGAAACATTGTTAGAAAAATCTAAAAAAACTCGCAATAGTCGCAATTGACCAACTAGTCCAACCACTGTATAAAAATAGTCCCGACCGGAAGAAACAAACTGAATCAACCCGTCAAGTGCATTAATCGGCCAGATCGAAACGTGCCGTTACAATGGCAATTATCATAAACGCGCCGATAGAAGAGACGCGTGTTCGGCGGTTTTACGCATAGCGCGTCCAGATACCCCTAAATTAGGTACAGTTTTGGACGTTTCTATTTTGTAATTTGTATAGAGACAAAAATGCAGGGCATTTTGTTACAGAAAAAGAAATATTTAGCTATTCAGTTGATTTTTTTAATAATTTCCACTGAAATTTTGGTGAAGCAACGCGTTACCTGCGTCATCTAGCGAGCCGCCACTGGCTAATAAATGGATATTATTTTATTTAAAATATCGCTTTTAGTATATCTTCTATCAATAATAATCAAAAAATACAAATTTGAGTTATATTTCTAATAGATTAGAAGTTAAGTCCGGAGTTCTCTAGGGTTCAATTAATTTTGTTTATACTCTACATCAGTGATATTAAAGAATTCATAAATCATAAGGAATATATTGCTTTTGCAGATATTTCGTTAATATTTTCTGAAACAAGTGATAGAGAAATCATAACTTAATGAATTGTAAACAGGGGCTGATGGGTCCACCGGGAAACCGGGGGATTTCCGGGTGCACTGGTCCTACAAACGCTGGTAGGCGCCGGTCCCAGCGTCACCAGTCGTCGGTCCTAGCGCCGTCAGCCACCGGTCCTACCGGCGTCGCTAGATCGATAGACCGCGGATTTTTTTCTTTAACTATTTGAAATTTTAAAAGAACAGCCAGAATTTATGAACTAATTTCTTAATCTACTTATTAATGTAAGTCTGTAAATCATAAATATGACGAAAGCGCCCATACCCTCAAAAACGTAATGTTTCATGTGACGTTGCATTGTTCCGGTATGAGGATATGAGGTATCTCGTATATCCGCGTTCGTCTGACTCTGGCCTCTGTCTCTTTTTATTAATCCATAATTGACTTGCCGCGCTGGTCCAAGATGTCCCATTTTCTCCTGATTGTAAACTATTTCAGTCAAAACGATCTTTATTTTAATACCGAAAAAACAAATGATTCGATTTTACAATAAACAAAAATGTTAGTTTACAGCTTGATTCGACATCTAAATTCAACCATTAAATTCAGTTAAATTTTTGGAATTGCATATTAATGAATGTCTAGATTTTAAATCACATTATGAACAATTCATATTCAAATTACATTCTTTAGTATATCTTTTTAGAAACATGAAATGCTAAACAAACTTAAATAACTTTCTATTATGCACGTTGATTCACGAATAAGGTATGGGATTACTCTAGGGCTTATCAACTACGCTACGGCTCGTAAAATTTTTCTTACAAAAAAAAATTATTCGAAACTATTATAGTAGTTGACAGTAAACATTCATGCAAACAGATCTTGTAACCATCGAATTAAATTTGTTTCTTTCCCCATGCACTTTCAAGAGATTAAACCGAAACCATAACAAAATTTTGTAGGGGACTAAGTAAGTAAGTTTGTGAAACTGGGTTTTGTATATGGTTTGGTTCGGTTATAGATGAGAATGAGGTAGTGTTTGCAGTTTCTTCTTTCTAATTCAACTGGTTCAGTTCCAATTTATCTATCCAACTCTACTCTAGCCGTTCCTTGTTGTTTTAAATGAGTTTTTACATTCTTTTGTTGTGCTAAGAGATCTATTCGACTGTTCAGGTGACCTACCTCTTGTCTAAAGTTTTCTTGAATTTGTAGCAAACCATTTATAATTACACTTCCTTTGCTTTGCTATGCCTCTCCTCCTTCTCTTCTCGCCTTTCCCTCTTCTCTTTTCGCCTTTCCCTCTAAATCTTCTTCCTTCCTACGCCGTTCCTTTGGGTCAAATTTCGTTTAGCTGAAATTAGTTACGTTAAAATTGTTACTATGGCAACCGTTGCCTTAGTAACCAGTAAACAATAACCCAGTTCTCGTGGTGAGGAAATGCATAGTTGCCAAGTTATAGATTATTTAATGTTCACTTTAGTTTAAACGAAATCAGTTATGGGAACGCTTGACATAGTAACGACTAAACAAAAAACTAAATCCAATGGTGAGGAAATGCATAGTTGGCAAGTTACAGGTCATTTAATTTTCACTTTAGTTTAGCTGAAATCGGTTATGAAAAAGCCGTTGCCATAAGAACACATGTCGTGATGTCGACTAAACAAAAACCTAAATCCGGTGCAGAGGAAATGCGTGGTTGCCTCTTATATTTAGATTAACTCTTAACACACTATCCTAATCTAAACTAAAGTGAAAATGAAATTATCTATAACTTGGCAATTTTCTTACTACGGGATTTGTTCAGTCGTTAGCATGACAAGCGTTTCCATGGCAACAGTTTATCCATAAGATCACGCTACGTTCCTCCCACCCACAACCTAACTACTGCAGAGGAGAGTGAGTAAAGCGAGCGCGCCTAGCCGACGAGACTTTTTTCCACCTAAATTATAAGATCACGCTACGATCCTTCCACCCACCTCCTAATCACTATTTGGCAAATACGCATGTCCTCACCACGAGATTTGGATTTTTGTTTAGTCGGTTACATGACAAGCGTGCCCATGGCAACATTTTTTGCATAACTGATTACAGCCAAATGAAATAAATCAAAAACCGTAATCATCTACAACTTTGTAACTACTTACTTCCTCACCATGCGATTAAAGTTTTTGTTTACTCATAGCCATCACAATTGTTATAATGACAACAGTTTTTGTATAACAGATTTCGGATAAACGAAAGTTGAGCCGTTCCTTTTCCTCTTCTCGCCTTTCTCTCTCCCCTTCCATCTTCAGAAACCAAGTTCGTGGGCCTGAAGTATCCATATCTGTTTCGTGCGCAGTGGATCTAGTATTTACCATAAATATTATGCTTGGGTAACTTTTGTTTTATATCCCACCGCTATTACCAATGTTACGCTGGTATTTGTTATCTCAATTTATTTCAACTCATCTTTTACAATAATTTAACTGATAACATTAACGTAAAGGTCTATCATAAAACTGACTGCCTCACGTCAGGATCACCGACTTATATAGCTCAATTTAACCTTCTAGAACCTTCCCGAACTTCCAGATGTTTCTTGATTCGAATGACGTTTCTAAACATTTCTCGAATATTCTTTATTCTTCTTTTACTCGCATCTTTACTTATGACGACTGCAGTACAATATAGGGTGATGGGTAACAATATTCTCAAGAAATTTAAGATTATGTAATAACGAGGGTACAAGTTGGGTATAAGGGTAATAAAGATAGGCAATACTGCCACAGTTATTAGGTGAGACGGTCAACACTTATACTATTTCAGGTAAAATAGTTTCGCAGGCAGCAAAGGGACAAGTAACAACGACGCTCAGGGATTGAAATCCAGCAGCGTTCTTAATGCAACTGGATTTTTGTTGGACCAACATAATTCCAGCTGGATCCAGCGCGGATCCTGCAATTTATGGATTTTTTAAATAAATTAAACTTTCTTTTCTAATACTTAAGAAACTTTTATTATTTCGACTGGTCACTACAAATCAGTATAACTTCTTACATAATTAGGTAATAAACAACATTGTTCGGATTAACAGAGATAATTAACTTTAAATATTTAATAAATATTAACATGTTTAGCGTCAGAATATCTTTTTCGGTACAACTAGTAAAAACATTGTATATTTAAAAATTTATTTAAAAGAAACAAGTAATATAAAATGGAAGTAAACGATAAACATAGTAGAGAAATTGTTGTAACTAGTGGATAGCATTGACACATTTATGTAAAAATACTGCAAACGAAATATTTGCCTATAACCTACAAAGCTTTCGCTACTTTAGGCCTTCCTTTCCCTTTCTTCCATATTTCTTCCATATTTCTTATAGCATTCTGAACATCGTCCACGTATTTTCTTTTCTCCCATTTCATCTTTAATCAATTTTTCGGTTCTAAAGGCACATTTCGTATTCTTGATGATGCAGCTCCAGCTTGGTCTTCAGCACGATTTCTTTTAAGCATTCTACTGATTGCTTTCTCCCTAAACTCCATGATGGTCTTCTTATTTTTGTCGTGTATTCATTACATAAGAAATTTGCACCCACTCAATGAGTATTTTTGCACCTCAAACGATGGATAGACAAGTGGTAATAATAATCGGTGTGTATATCTGTATCTGCAGTGTGTGGAGGGTAGGTTAACCCACGGCACTTAGGCCTTACTATGCCCATTGTGCATTTAAGTAGATAGGCACCTCCTAGCTCGTGAGCCACCCTACGGATATCCAATTCTCACCGAACATAAATCTTTTAGTAAATGGCAATCGTAGAGAATATGTTCGATGGTATCATTTTCTTGTTCGCACTCTCTGCAGAGTACGGACTCTGATAGATCCATGATATGGAAATGCTTCCGTACTTCGCAATGACCAGTCAGAATGCCTGTGATCAGACGCAGAGTCTGTCTAGTCATAGTCAAGTATTTGTTTGCTGTAGTGTTGTCAGGATAACTTAGAAGCTCCCTGGCTTCTTGTTTTGTACCATCTTACCTTGAATTTTACAAGGGAATGTTCTTTAATTAGATTTGTTATTACCGATGTTTTCAGTCCAAGAGAAGGGCCAGGTCCAAAAAGTATTTGGTTAGCTGCCTTCTTTACTCCTTAAAGGATAGAAAAGTGGTAATAATAATAATTGGTGTATATAGTTCTTTCTTCGTCTAATAGACCTTTTGCCAATGTTATTAAAGTTTATTCAGGAACCTCAGTCACAGGATTCCTTGAATAAACCATCATATTTCAAGTATACCCTTCGTCTGTACAAACCTGTATAAACTTTGATGCCATATTTGGCTATCACTTTATTAGGCCCATCCAACCAAGAAGAGCCAGAAACCTATCAAAGTGGGAACACAGGCAAAGTACACTTTTGTGCCACTATTATAAAAATTCAAATACTTCTGGATCTGCAGTGCTGGATCCTGCTGGATGAGGGATCCAGCAATTTTAATCCCTAACGACGCAACAGGCTTTAATAAAACAGAGCCCGTTCTAGAGCAGGGACGGAAGTTGAAAAGGCTTTTGGTAGGTGAAGAGGTGGTAAACGTCAAACCCCGTCTGACGACTTTAAAAATTTCGCGAAAGTTTTTGTTCGCCAGTGTCGTATCGTAGATTAAAAATAATACCAAACATTTTAAATTATTACCGGCGAAATCGTCCAATCTTATCAATTTATAAGCTAGAAATAATTATTTAAAATGTTATAATATTCCAATTTAAAAAATCTACAAAATTTCGACAATTATTCACAATTTATTTAACTATTTACGCTAAATCGTTATTAGAATCTATAAAATAATTTTCTACGACATTATTTATTGTTTCGGCCTTTACTTGATGAAAATCCATTTAATTTTGAAAGAGTAAAACCAAATTTGGTAGATTTTCACACTTTTATTTTAAAAATAAAAATTTTTAAACAAACACTAACATGACATATGTTTCGAAGTACAACTTCTTTTTCAAATGTGACTATTTACAATTCGGTATCCAATATATATACAAAATAATTTAACAAAACAAAGTACTTAAGAAAACATCAATAACATTACAAAATAAACTAACTATTTAAAGTAAATAAGGGTACTTAGGTAATTATAATATCCATCAAATAACAATAAGATAGCCCATTACCGGGATTATCTCACAGAAAACTGGGAAAGAGGTTTAATAAGGGTGAATTATTAATATCTAATTGATCATTTAGTAAGTTATCTGAATTTTTAAATCTATTTATTTCAAGTGTTTCTATATGTAGAAACACTTGAAATAAATAGATTTAAAAATTCAGATAACTTACTAAATGATCAATTAGATATTAATAATTCACCCTTATTAAACCTCTTTCCCAGTTTTCTGTGAGATAATCCCGGTAATGGGCTATCTTATTGTTATTTGATGGATATTATAATTACCTAAGTACCCTTATTTACTTTAAATAGTTAGTTTATTTTGTAATGTTATTGATGTTTTCTTAAGTACTTTGTTTTGTTAAATTATTTTGTATATATATTGGATACCGAATTGTAAATAGTCACATTTGAAAAAGAAGTTGTACTTCGAAACATATGTCATGTTAGTGTTTGTTTAAAAATTTTTATTTTTAAAATAAAAGTGTGAAAATCTACCAAATTTGGTTTTACTCTTTCAAAATTCTACGACATTGTTTCGTTCACTTAGGTCACAGTTTGTAGATAAAGAATCAGTTAGCTTACTCGGACCAATTGGATGTTCCAAAATAAGATCCACTCCAGGGATACAAATTCAGGATGCGCAGAAGACTACTGTTTGAATATAGGCGGTTAATGTTATATATTGTATTAAACCTTCGAAGTGTCGAAAAAAGGACAATATTCGTAACACTGAAGTCTTAAGGAATATCTTTCAAAAAGATATTTTATTATTCCTAGTCCGGATTTCCCAATTGATTATGTTGTATCATTATTTGTTAGAGTAAGGATTTACTATACTCTCAAATTTTTAAATCAAGATTAAATCTTCAAACAAAAAAAAATAAACCTAATTTAAAACTAACAATTCTTAAACATGTATAAAATTGTTTAATTTTATATTTAATTATTTTAATGCAAGATTTTTTTTTATTTATTAAATGAGTACGAATTCGTATTTTTATTTAAATTCATCCAAACATTTCCCAAAGTTAATTTCAATTTGACAGTTGCTTGCTTCCTGGGTTGATATTCACCTATACACACAGCTATTTATTTCAGGAATCTTGAAATAGTCTCTGATTTTGTAATCAAGAAATGGTTATTTTGACCGATTGATTTTATTTTCTAGAAAATTTACAGTGAATTGTAAACGGTATACCAGCAAGCTTTTAAATAAGGCACTAGTGTGTATTTTAAGTATTTATTAAAATACGTTAACTACAACTTCTTGATAAAAAACATGAATAACTTATAACATGGATCGAACTACTGACAACTGACAGCTCACTGTCCACTATGACTAATGTTACGTTATTATACATTATTAAATTAATATACATCTTATACATCTTACAAGTTAAGTTTCATAGGTTTATTAACTACAGGGCCTGAACGTGTAGTCAGAACATACTTATTTTTTGATTGATGAGGTGGTGGGCTAGAGGCAGAAGGTTCAGGTTCAACTGGTTGAGAATCTGACATAGTTACTTTGCTATGACTATCCGACTGTAGTTGTGACGTTGTATTGTTAGGTATAGGTTCAGCTGATGTTACAACAATGTCATTACTTAGGTCAGTTTTTGTTGAGAATTCATTTTCAGAAGGCTTTATATCATACCTGTTTCTTCTGACAACATTATTTTGACTATATTGAACAAGTTATGACCTAGGAGCAACATTGCTTTTAAGGATCTTACCAGAGTCCCAAATTTTATTGACATGATTATATATGGTGACATTTGACCCTTTTTCCAACGGTTTAAGACATTTATTACTTTTATCATATTTTAAATTCAATGAACGTTTTGCCTTTAACCTTTCTTTTACATCTTTACACAATTGGGGCTGTAATAACTCATTTGATGTAGGAAGTTTAGTTTTGCATATTCTACTATTAAGTAACTGCGAGGGGGAATAATCCATACCTCTTAACGGTGAGTTTCAATAATTTAATAAGGATATTTCAATATCTTTTCCAGCTTTCTTTAATAGATTTTTTGTAATTGAGACAGCTTTTTCCGCCAATCCATTGGAACGCGGAAAATTTGGGCGTTTAAACGTAAGACTAAATTTGCAGTCACTTGAAAATTGTTTAAAACTTTCACTATTGATAGGTTCATTATCACATATCATAACCTCTAGGGGACCGAATCTTGAAAACACAGGTTTAAATTGTTTTATTACCGAGTTGACACTTTTATCAGTGATTGGTAGTATCTCTAGCCAGTTTGAATATGCATCAAACATAATTACATAGCATTTATTACCATATGTGAATATGTCACTTCCAATGCATTCCCATGATCTACTAGGCAATGGATAAGGCATAAGCCTTTCTTTAGGATTTTTCCGAGAAAAATTTTCACATATTTTACAGCTTTTTATATGCTTTTCTATATCCACTGTCCAGGCCAGTAGAAAATTTTTCTAGCACGTATTTTTGTCTTTTCCATTCCTAGATGGGCTTCATGCAGAAATTAAGGCATTTCACTTCTTAGTGGTAACGGTATTACAAGTTTATTTTCCAAAAATAATAATCCATCACTAATATACAGCTTATCTTGAAGTTTTGCATATATTTTCACACCATCTGGGATTTTTGGTTATAAAATCAGTTACCAGTTTTAGCTGACTATCTTTTTCAATTATTTGTTTAATTTAATTTTTTTGGTTTTCAGAGACTGGTAGATAGCTAGTTATAGCATGGACATCAAAATCTATTTTTGAATTAGATTTCAAACCTTTTTCATTTAGATATGCTCTGGAAAGGGTATCTGAAATATATATGTACTTCCCAGGTCTATAGCACACATTAATTTTGTAATTCAAGAGTTTAAGCCTCATTCTTTGAATTCTAGGTGAGACCGATTGTACATTTTTTTAAAAATACTCTTTAAGGGCTCATTCGATTCGGAATGGCATCTGGAACATTCTATCAAAATTCCAAGAGGGGCTGAAAAAAATGCAAAAGTTATAAACAATAAAGTAAAATAAAAAATAAGGGTTTGGTTTTTTTTTAAATATTTCAAAAACTATTTGAGATAATCGAAATTTTAAAAAAGATCCTTAAAGAGCAGGAAATTTCCTAAAAAAAAATCCTACCTCCCGAAACTGTACCAATAACCCTTATAATTTTAATTAAGCGGCGAAAATAACGGTAAAAACGCGTGGTTCGGCTGCCGCGCGCATCGCCCCAATCTGACACA